TCTTTCTTTCTTTCTTTCTTTCTTTTTCTTTCTTTCTTTCTTTCTTCTTTCTTTCTTTTATTTTGCTAGAGGCCACCAGGGAGACACAGAGAGAAGGAGAGAAGAGAAAGCACCCGTACGGGGCAGGGTCACACCACAAGCCCCTCTCCTCCATTTCTCTCTCCATTTGTGTGTTTTTGTTTTCCTTTTTTAGTTTTTACTATAGGGCATGTGCATTCACCAGAGAGAGGGAGAGTGAAAAAACACCCCCCAGGGATGCAATTCCTTCTCTTTGATTCTCTTCTCAGGATTTTGGGCATGTATGCACAAGCTCCCAGAATGTTTGTTTGTTTGTCCCAATAATTCTCTTTTTTAAAAAAATTCTACTTCTAGGCCAGCCAGGTGTTGTGGTGGTTAAGGCAGCTGGATCCTGCATGGCTGAGAGCAGCTGGACTTGATGGCTTGGAAAATGCACGTGGGCCCCAAATCCCGAGAGATGGAGAAGGAATTGTGGTGTGGCCATCCCCTCCAGCGAGCGGTTTATCACTTTCCCTCTCTTTCTCTCTGTCTCTGGCAAGTGCAAGCGCCCTGTGGCTAAAAAAAAAAAAAATCCTATTTCCAGTAAAGCCATGAGGAATTGAGTTTGCAAAACTCATAGAAGTTGGAGAGGAAGAAAACCACCCAAGCTGCAATTCCAGTCCCCGTGGAGCTGACTGTGTGCCTGGTGACAAGGCATGCCCACAGAAAATCGCTGCAGAACAAGAGCGTGGCACATGTCAGCCGAGGGGCAGTGGCACTGGGAGCCCAGGAGGGGAGAGGGCGGAACAATGGGACATGAGTCACCGACGTCCACATCCGTGTCATCCTTCCTCGAGGCGAAGCAGGACTGCGGGCAACAGTGGGAACAATGTCACGAGGCAGGAGTCAGGCATGCTCCGAGTGGTGGGCGCCGCCACAGGGTGGGGTTCAGGGCAGCCTCACTGAGAAAGTGGGATCTGAGTACAGAGTCAGGGCACCTCCAGGGCTCACCCTGGCCCAGAACCCCCAATGTTCAAAGTCAGCTTCATCCTTCCCTGTGCTGATCTCCCACTGGACCCCGTGAGTGCTTCCGGGTCTGGGTTTCAGATAACTTTTTGTTTGTTTGTTTGTTTTTGTTTTGTTTTGGGTTTTTTTGAGAGGTTTTTGCTATAGGGTGCGTGCACTCGCCAGAAAAAAACAGAGAGAGGCAGAGAGACAGAAAGCGAGAAATCACCCCCCAGGGCAGATGGCCACGCTGCAATCCCTTCTCCTCCATTCTCCCCTCAGGATCTTGGGCACGCACGCACACACACCCGGTGTGAGTTTAAGTCACCAGGTCCAGGATTTGAACCGCGGTCAACTACATGGGAGTCCAGCGACATAGCCATTACGCCAACTGCTGGTCCCCTGATAACGTTTTTTATTATTGTACAAGTAACAGGTTCCAATTGATTAAGGAAGAAAAAGAGAGGAATGGAGGAAGGGGGAGAGAAAATGTAGAGATCCAGAAAGGAAAAAAAGAAATCTATACTTCCATTTCCTAAAAAAAAAACATTCAAAGGTCAAGGTGGCTGGATTTCAAGTGGCCGACTGTATGGTTCGAGTCCTGGTCCTATGCAGGTTGAAACGCACACTGGGCGGGGCCGGGAGGTGGTGTGGTGGTTAAGGGCACTGGATTCCCACATGGCTGACCATGGTCCGAGTCCTGGACCTGGTGGCTTGCTTTCTCACTTTCCTTTTCTCTCTCCCTCTTGTCAAATTAAAAAATAACAATAACAAATGGAATTAAGTAAATAAATAATTCTTTTAAAAAAGAAGAAAGGAAAGAAAAGCACACTGGGCATGTGTGCAAGTATGCCCAAAACCCTAAGAGGAGAATGGAGGAAAAGGGATTGTGGCGTAGCCTTCCCTCTGGGGAGTACTTGCTCATCTCTGTTTCTCTCCAGCACATGCCCTAGAGCAACAAATTAAAACCACTCAGTGTTCTGGTGACTGCCACCCACCCACCCTGCACCCGCCCACCCTGCACCCACTCACCCTCCACCCACTCACCCTCCACCCACTCACCCATACATGCTTTGTCCACTCGTCTATCCTTCCACCTGCCCATCCAACCACCTAGCCAGTACTCATTGCTCTCCCCATCTGCATCAATGTTCCTAGTTGTGAACAACAGGATCCGCTCTAACAGAAAAGTAAAATATGAGATAAATATTAAGAGGCTCGTAGAGGGGCCTGCAGGTGGCGTGGTGGTTAGGGATGCTGGATTCCCACATGGCTGACTGTGGTTCGAGTCTGGACCTGGTGGCTTGCTTCCTCACCTTCCCTCTCTTTCTCTGTTTCTCTCTCGTCAAATTAAAATAATACTAAATAAAGTTAAATGAAAAAAAATTAAAAAAAAAAAAAGAGGTTCCCAGAACTCAGAAGGAAAGGCAGGCAGGCATAGAGGCTCCTTCTGCCCCTTCCCAGGCTGCCTGCTTCCTCAGTTGCTCCCTTCCAAATGGAAATCTCACATGGGAGTACGTGATGACCGAACCCAGGTCACATGCCCATTCCTCCGCTGCAAGGGCATCTGGGAAAGAAAATTTCTGACCTTTACTTTGGGGAAGTGGGATTTATGACGTGAGATAAAAACCCACAAACAGGAAAGCTGATCAAAAGACCCTGGTGATCATAAGGCATGGCAAAGGTCCCCATACTATGGTTTGTTTGTTTTCTCTCCTTCCAAGAAGGGGACGGTGCTAATTTAAGCGTTCTCTGAATCAGGAACCAATCCTTGAGGAAGGGAGAGCTCACACGTTCACCTCTGTCACTGCACCAGCCCAACGCCCTTGCTATCTGAGTGCCGAAGACTCCCAAGGCCTCTTGGGGACTGTGAAGGAAGGGGACTCTGCCAGCACGGAAGCATAAAACTGTCCTACCTCCATTATGCACTTGTGCTCACGGAACACCTCTGCCTGCTAGGCCTGAGTGCCTGCCTGTGGGCTTCCTGTCACTCAGGCCACCTCTGACTCTCCTCCCTGCTCCAATCAGCAAGAGCTCCGTGAGGTTTCACTAGTCTCCGAAGGCCGGTCTGCAATGGCTGCCGAGAAGCCAATCTTACAAAGGCAATCCCATTGACAAAGATCGCTGGCACCAGGCCAGCCCGTGGCATGGTGGTGGAGGTGGCTGGATTCCACAGTAGCTAACAGCTTGGTTCGAGTCTTGGACCCACTGGCTTGAAAAGTACGCTGGCCCCGTGTGCGTGCACGTCTAGAACCCTAAGAGAACGGGAAAGGGATTGAGCCATGCTCATCCTCCCTGGGGAAGGAGCTCTCTCTCTGAGAGCTCACAAATCCTGTAGTAAATTAAAAAAGAAAAAAAAAATTCTGGGCCAACAGATAGTGTAGTAAAGGGCTGGACTCCCACATGGCCAAGTACAATTCAAGTCCCAGACCCAATGGCTTGAAAATCACACCAGGCACATGTGTGTGTGTGCCCAAAATCCTGGAAGGAGAGTGGAGCAGAAGGGATTGCAGGGTGGCCATCCCCCCGGGGGGTGATTTCTCACTTCCCCTCTCACTGTCTCTAGGTCTCTCTCCAGTGAGTCCACATGCCTTAAGGCAAAAAATCTAAACAAAACAAACAAAAATCAATGAATTTAGACCCACCTAAAGTCAAGTGAGTCTGTTGAGATCCATCTGTTCTTCAGGGCCAAGGTGGGCCATCACAGACTTACAATAGGAGCTCTGTCTTTGCCTTCCAGAAGCTTACACTGCTTTTGAACCGGTAAGAGGCAAGACACACTTAAGCAGTAAGGCAGCTCTCCTGGTCCCAGGTGAAGGAAGGAGCCAACCTCCCGGGTTTAGGTTAGATGGGCTTAGCCAGGCTGCTAAGGGTGGGGTGTTGAGGGGTGGAGGGTACTGGCTTGGGAGACATGTCCGTAGCTCCTCCGACCCAGGTCCATCCCGGGAGCATCACGACCCTCCTTATCAGGGCTGAATTCGTTTTGGTGGTCATCGGATCAACGCCTGCCTTTTCTATTCCACAATGAGCGGGCCGCGGTGCCCTAGGACAGCCATGAGAGTGCAGAAGCCGGTGAGGACCAGGTCAGGGCGGAGCTGTGAGAGGGAGAGGCTGCGCCGTTCACAAAGACAGTCTGCAGCGGCTTCCCCCTCCCCCTCCCCCTCCCCCAGGGAGGAGCAGCTGATGCGTTTCTGGAGTGTTCCAATCCAATTAGAGCCCCCTCCCCTCCACGGAGGGGCCCAGCCACCACCCCCTACCCCGCGGTGGGGCTAGGTGGAGAGGGGGTGCTGAGGTCTGAACATCCTGACCCAGCTCCTCCGCTGCACCGCTTGCTCGCGGCTACCGAGGGCTGCTATGACAGCGCCCGTTTCTAGGCGACTGTTCTGGGGAATGGTCTGTTTTGGCAACCAGAGGGCCCCTGGGTGAGGGGGGGGCCCCGCAGGCCGCCGCCTCCTTTGCATAGCAACCTCCTCCCCTCCCCGAGCAGCGCGCCGCTCTGCGGCAGGCGGGCGGGCAGACC